AATTTATTTGTATAGTATTATAATCTAAATTAATGAATTTAATTCCAATGGTTATGATTTCATCTCCTATCTTTTGTGATATGCAACTTAACTGTTCTACAAGGCAATGCCAACATATAAACAAAATAGTCAAACTAGATGACAAATTATATCATAAAATAAGAAAACAAACCATCTGAGTATCCTTTCAATGTAAGAAGTGAAAGAGTAGCATAATCTTGTATGAGTTAGTCTTTGTTATAAATTATATTGTAACTATCTATGTTTGCCAAACTATTTATCAGTTCTCCTTTTGTAAGTCTAGCTGTTATTGAATTTTCATGGGCAAGCGTAGCTAATAGGTCTTGTTCTTGAAACTCATGCTTTTTTTTAATAAGTAGAGGAGTTTTAGAGTCGCTCGAAAGGCTCTATCTTGAAACCGATCTCTAAGCACTGATCAACAGAGTATGAGAGAACCAATGCAAGAGGTGTAATAAGTTGGGAGCAATGCAAACACCTACGAAACTCAAGCATAATGTGTTTTCCTATGGCCATTTTCTAAGTAAATAGGTAGGTAAATGACTTTAACCTCTTAATTTAGGAGCAATGCTAACTCTTATAAGGTGGTGGGGGAGATCATGCAACAAATGTAGAAGAAGGTATTGCTACAAGGCAATTTAGATTGTGCAACCAGTGGTGTCAAAATGAGAAAGAAGATGACAAGAATGATGGCTATGAACATTGTTGTGGTGATATTTCTAGTAATGGATGATGTCATGTTGTTTGATAAATATGTTAAGGGATTTGATGTCTTAACATAACTGTTTTGATACATGGGCATCATGGCAAGATTTCCTGTTTGACGAGGGAGGCATTGGGATGACTTCACAAGTAGTTTTGGGAATTTACATGGATGCCACACAATTATAATGTATTTACATATCTAACCCAAATTTAACTCTCTTTTATATTCATACAACTGGACCTTAGTTGCACACTATATGTACGTGTAAATCTTCTATTTTTTTGGGGCTAATATAGTAAATTATATAAGGTTTTAAAGGCTTCTCTGATCAATTGATTGCCTAGCGTTTGTTTTAGATCAATTATATTATTATTATTTTTTTTTTAAAAAATTAATATATATTTTATAATTTTGAACACTTTCTCTTTAATTAAGAGGGAAATTTATATGCATTGTATATTTACATATCCAATATGTAAACTTTTATATTTACATTTGTCACCGGTGATAAATCTGGCATGAAAATATGGTCGACGGGCAGAACCACTAGCCACCCCTGGCTCGCAAATTATCAAGTATGGGTTGGACTCATGCGTCAAACCACTCGAATACCACCCCGATATAGCATAAGTCGCCCGGGGGTTTCGAACCCAGAATAGAGGGAACTTGCAACTGACGAACCAGATGCCTACCAACAGATCTGGGAACACGACACATATATACATATAGAGAGAGAAAGAGAGAAGAAAAAACAAAAGATAATTTATATACGTACAACACAAATCATTTATATTTACATATCTAACATCTATAATTAAATATTTACATTTATAGTATTTTAGTGTTATAAATTTATGCATGAAAAAAAGCAATCTTATACTTCTTAAACATAATTATTATTTTTTTGACATTATAGACTTGAGTGATAAGTAAATAAATATAAAATATAAAAAAAATTAATTGTTAGATATATAAATATAGGGAAATTTACAAAACCACACATTTATGCATTTACACATGTAATACTTATGTTTAATATTTACATTTATAACCCTTTGGTGACAAAAACCTATGCATGATGTGCATTCCACTTATAAAATGTTTGTGATAGAGATATTTTTTATGAGATTTTAGATGCTATGTATAAATATGAAAAAATTTAGGTGTTGCATATATAAATATATAAGAACAGTGATGAACGTTTGTTAATGCTAGTAAATAGGGGCATTTACATACATACCACAAAATTCTTATGTATTTACATATCTCGCACCTAAAACTTCATAATTACACACAACACTCGCATCTTTAATATCACATAAAAAATAGCACTACTATCACAGAAGAAAATGATATTTTTCCAAGAAGTAAAGTTTAGGGGTCATATAATGCAAATAAATAGAATTGGGTGGTATGTATGTAAATGCCCCACTATATAATAGAAGTTTTGCAATATAGTTCATTTAAAACCATATACTAACCATTGAAAACTAATCTTCAACTCAATAAAGCTTGAAATAAGAGCTAGTTACAGGCCTATTTTCTGCTTCACACCTGGAGCTGGGATGCATAATATAACAACTAAGAAAAGTCTGCTACATTTCCAAATTTTGAATCTCATTTCAGCAGAAAAAAAGGATCAGTTTGGGAGTGTGATATAACTTATGAACAATAAGAACAATAACAAAAATTGAACAAATTTGACTAACCTGTGTTAAGAGAAGTTCTTAAAAATCGAATGTGACGAGACGGCTTCGGTTCTCTTCCTTGATGAGCTCAAGAAATTGATGACTGGCATCGGGTCGATCCCTATGAAATGCCTTGTACAATGTCTGCAGCTCCTCCGAACTCGCTTTCTTCAATATGGATTTGAGATCGGCATTCTCCGTGTCGGTAGAAACTGCTTGTTGATTTATATTGTTTGACGGATTTGGAATTTGAGGACGAGATTTCCAGTACTCCGAGGAGATGTGGTTCTTATCCATGGATTCGATTGCCTGCGGATGAAGAAAATGAGGAGGATGAAGCTTTGGTTGAAGAAGATGATTGGTTTGAGCTCGTGAAGATGGAATTAGGGGAGTATTATTGCATTGTTAATCCATGTTAATAAATAAGCTCACAAAATTGGATGCAAAAAGTGTGGATTGATCTTGATTTTGTTAGCCTGTTTCGATCTCACATGGTCAAGCAACTAAGTAGGGATTTGGATAATAATAGATTTTCACATGAAAAACTCAAATGACCAAAAAAAATTTAGAGATTCACATATATACCACAAAATTCTTATGTATTTACATATCTAGTACTAAATATTTTATATTTACACTTACAATAACACCTTGGTGTAATAAACCTATGCATGAAAGGTTTTTTTTGTTAAAAAGTACTAAATAGTAGTATTTTTTATGTGATGTTAAAGATTTGAGTGATATGCAAGTAAATATGAAGTTAGATATGTGCATACACAAAGAATGATATAGTATGTATGTAAATACCCCGAAAATATTTACACGTTTGCCCACATATCTAGTACTAAATATTTTATATTTACACTTATAATAACACCTTGGTGTAATAAACCTATGCATGACAGGTTTTTTGGTTAAAATGTACTAAAAAGTAGTATTTTTTATGTGACGTTAAAGATTTCAGTGCTATGCAAGTAAATATGAAGTTAGATATGTACATACATAAATAATGATATGGTATGTATGTAAATACCCCCGAAAATATTTACAAGTTTGCCTAGTCGAATAGTCGCCACTAGAATGCAAAATATTACAAGGTAATACCTCATGAATTCAAACCAAAAGAAAAAGTCGCGTGACAAGCAACTAGAAGTTCACCCACTTGTGCGGCCATTGGGCCACTCTTCTCATTTGTTCTACCCTTTCGTGTAATTCCAAAGCTAAAAAAAAGTTAAAAAAAAGTTCCTTTTTTTTCTTTTGATTTTATTTAGATATCCAAATAAAAAAAAAAAAAATTCTCTGATAATTTTATTTTAATCTCCTAAGTTGAAGGGGATAAAATCTCTAAAGATACCCCCTTCCACACATGAAGAAGAGGAATTGATCCTTTGGGTTCAAAAATCATACAAATGAATCCTATACGTTGGCATGACCTAATAGAAACATACGCCAAACTTAATTCGAATTGGCAATGCAATGCGTAGGAGAGAAGAAAAAGAATGCAAGAAAAGTTCTATAGAAAAAAAAAAATCCCCTTTTTATCTCCATGAAGCCAATCAAGATTAAGGCTCCTACTACAAACTAATGAGGTTGATGTAGCTGTATAATCAAATAGGGACGTAGCCATCAAAATAAGACATTATGAATAAGGTCCATACTGAATAAAAGTCATTTGGATATTTTAAACATACAATCTAGTAGGGATGCATCCCAAATGTGGTTCTAAAAGGATTTATGATTGTGCAAAGAAAGCGCAAATGAGAAAGAAACTGACAACGAAAATGATAAAGATTTGTCTGGATGATTATCCATACTTTTGTGGAGAAACCTCATCAAGTACATTATGAATAAAATATGAGATTCTGAAACTTGTTTGCCATCTTTCATACATTTTCTTTGATGAGTACTTAATACCTTTGTCCATATATTCTCGATTCACAATTTTTTTATAAGAAAAGCCTTGTCATTGGTTTACCAAAAATTTTGATCTAAGTTATAATCTAATGCCAAAAAAATATAATTTAAAGGGAATGTAGAATTCAAATGCTCCACTCATGCGGTTTTGTGCACTAAAATATAATTTTTTTTTACAATATCGCAACTCAACATAAAATCTCGTGTTTTGAATTTTTCTTAAATTTAACAAATAATTACCTTTGCTTGATTCCTTAGCTTTAAAATTTTATTGGTATCATTCAACAAATGTTATAACGATATAAAAATATTTCACAAAAAAAAAAAAAGAATTTTTTTTATGAAAAATGTCAATATTTTACCGACTGTCTGGATTTTCTACACCGTATAGTCATTTTAGAAAATACTGCGAAACAACCAAATATATGAATTTAATGGTTAAAATTTTATTGCGACTAGAGGATTCAACGTACTTTTTAATATAGTTCTTGGGTTCTTTTGGTCACCAACTCTTTTCAAAGTGTTAGTTAGCAATCACCACCCTGATATTTTTCTAAATTTCATTTTGCACGAAGGGTGTGAATGAATCATAATTCGGGTTAAAAGTTAGTTGATCCCAACCACACCCTTGATAATCAAAATGGACGCCCCATAGGGATTAAGGATTGAGGAAGTTTTTGTTCAATCTGTAAAACTTATCTGTGAGAAAATAGCTTGCATGCCTTTTAAAAAACTATGGGATTTCTATTTGATTATGGGTGCTATACGTATTGATGTTGCCTAAGTGGATGAAAATGGCAATGGTGTTTCAAAAAGTGGCGCAAGTGATAATGTCAAAGATGAAGAAAAGGACAACGATTGCATCAGCTAAAGACCGGACAACAAAGCAACATGATATAATGTAGGAAACGACAAAAAAGCAACTAAGAAGTAGACATTAAAGCTGTAATAGTTGGGCAAATATTGAGATTGGCTAGATTTCAAAGTTACATGAAGTTTAGATTTCTTATATTTTATAAAGTTACAGAAAGTTTCTAAAATTTCTAAGAACTTTTAGTTGTATTGCAGAATGCATCTACTTGACATAATATTTTTCTTTGTGCTAGAATACTTGGTTTGCCCATCAAACTTACTAGTCCATTGAGCCACACGAGTATGCCTTACTAGTGGGGCAAATGTTAGAATCATGGAGTGATCAAATATGCCTTCGAAAACTGTTTAACAAATTTCATTCTGAAATCCGAATTCATTGAATTTAAGTTCATCTTTATTGAGAAAAGTAAGATTTTCCAAGAGTTTGTTTTATAGATTGGCAATTTCATTAAATTATAAAGAGAGGAAGCTTTTTAGGACCATCACATTATATTCTTTGTAGAACTTCGGTTGTTTCAAAAGTTGACCCAATGTGGAAGAGCATGAATGGTTGTGCTCAACATATCGAAAGGCATCAATTGTAGAGTTCTTTCAAGGATCAATAAATGTCAGAAGAGAATAGGTTTTTGCTTTTGAGCCCATGGATGAAATGCCACTAATGAATAAGAGTGGTAAGTTCACTTCAAATTTGTTCAACACTTCTGTGGCTATGACTAACAAAATTTCTTTGAGAATATCATTAAAACCTTGTCAGAGGCATGCAAATTCACCAAAGGTTTTGACCATTTTCTAAGACTGATTATATTCTAACTCAATAACAATATTATTTTATAGAAGAGGTTAAATTGAATCCACCAAGTATTTTGACCACCCGTTGGAATAATTGATCAATACTTTGCTTGATAACCATAACTCATTAGGGAAGTGGTCAAATCAAATCCGCCAAGGATCAATTGAACCTTTTAAGATGTAGTGCAAATGAGTGCAACTCTATTTAACATTATGAAGATCATATCTTCCTCGAAGTTATCTTGCTTTGTTGACGTCAAGCCCATGACCTTGGCTAGTGTCAATGAGTCCAACAAAAGGATCATAAAGGTTACATATAAATGTAGAGATGGGGTCTTTATAAACCATTACAAGATACTGAATAATCTTTTTGATTATTTCCCTTAAATGTTTTCATAGTCAAATTGTGTTGGTTGTATGTTTTGATAGCCATAACACACCCATAATTTACAAATAAAGCATGACATAGCCAACTAATGCAGACACACTCTCGGGACTAAAAATTGAATAGAACCCTAACCCAACAAAGTAAAAAGGAAGTTACCTAATTGAGATTAGGAGAATCCATTTTGGTTTTTTTGACATTCCTTAGTGCAAAGGGAGGTTATCTTGAATTGCCCTCAACCATTAATGAGAGTTGGCAATTTTTTTGTTAGTGTAGATTTAGGGTAAGTTTGGGACAACTTTCTATTTGCTATGCATTTCAAACCACCACCACAGTTCTATTTAGGAAATTGCTTTCTATAAATTTTTGTAGTAGAAAGCTTCTTTCTTCAACTTGACATTTTAAAGTGCGGTAGCTGTAAGAAAGCTGTTGTCTAATATTTTGGAAAAAATATATATTTATAACTCTTGTCATAGCTTTCTAAGAAGTTGTTTTCTCCACAATATTTTTATAGCCGCTTTTATAAAAAGCTACAGTTGATTTTCAAAATAAAACAAAAAGATATTATTGATATGAAACAGGGGTACTAATAACCCTTTCATAAATCCTAGAATAGGAAATGCAATAAAAATAAATAATAGGAAATGAAAGATATAACACATGAATCTCTAATTAATCTATTTATATTAATTACTTGGAGATAAAAGAAACAACATAAAGTATAAATAGGAAAGAGAATAACTCCAATCTAAGGAACTAAATTTAATTCTCATAACTTTTAACAGAAATAAATTATTTCCTAATATAACTTCTAACACTCCCCTTCAAGTTGAAACATGACAGAAAACCGTGTTTAACTTGGATTTGAAAACATCAAACAATGAACGAAGAAGATTCTTTGTGAGGCAGAACTTGAAGTCTTCATCTCGTACTTAGTAATCAACCCCAAAAGTATTTAGTTAACTAACTGCAATTTCTGTAGTGTCTGTAGGTAGGCGGAAGACTTTATAGATAATGTTGCAAGGAAGTTTGCAAGAAAGTATACAACCAACAGGAAAAGCTGCAGGGTATGCCCTGTTGAAAAAACTTCTGAGGTAGGCCTTGCTGCAGGAAAAGAATCTGGAGGGCCTACTGCAAGAAGAATCCAGGTGGAAGCTTGCTGCAAAAAAAAACTACAGACGAATTGATACTACCGAAAAAAAAACGTTGCAAGAAAAACTTGGGAGAAGGGTTTCCTGCAGTAGGCCTTGCTGCAGGAAAAGAATCTGGAGGGCCTATTGCAAGAAGAATCCAGGTGGAGGCTTGCTGCAAAAAAAAACTACAGAGGAATTGATACCGAAAAAAAAACTTTGCAAGAAAAACTTGGGAGAAGGGTTTCCTGCATAAAAAATTTCGGAGGAAGGTCTGATACAGGAAAAAGTTCTGGAAGAGGGCCTGATGCAGGAGAAGGCTCCGGAGGAGGGCCCGATATAGATGAAGGCTCCGAAGGAGGGCTTGTTGTAGGAAGAATTCTGATGGAGGATTTGCTGCAGAAAAATTCTGAAGGAGGGCCTAATACAAGAAAAGGCTACGGAAGAGGGACTGGTATGGAAGGGCTCCGGAGAAGGGTCTGCTGTAGAAAAAAGCTCTGGAAGAGGCCTGCTACAAGAAAATCTCTGAAGAAGAGCCAAAACTCTAGATAAGATAAAGTGCTATCATCATCTGATGATTGCTTAGCCTCCTTGATCGAACACCATATTTGTCCAAGAAAAAGTCAGTTTCTTTCATAGCCCAAAAGAAGATGACAGTCATCAAAGCCATATAACCACCACACACAATTCCAGTTGCACAAATTTCTTTATGCTTACAGTAGTTGTCGGATACAGGAGAAAGTTTCACTCGATCTTTCGAGAAGGGATTCAGGAAAAAAACGTGTCTGGCTTGGTACATTTGATACGATTGAGAAGGTGGCTAGGACATTGCTTAGGTCCAGTGACATCTACTCTTCCATACGTCATTGGAATTTTGGGTCCGCCAGCTTCCTCAATAGCTGTAGCACTAGCTAGTTCAAATAAATCAGCATATGTTACACTAGAGTACTTATCCTTGATAGGCTGAAGAAGCTTCAAAGCATTACAAGGCCAGCATTTGCTCCAAGTTTCAGCTCTAAATCGAATCTCAAGTTTCCATCAGCTCCACCCTTTCAATGTTTTTGTCATATGTCCCGGCATCATGCCATCCCAAGCGAACCAGTATCAATGGCAAAACTTCGTCTTAAGAAACTCTCGAATATCTTCCATCGCGCTCCTAAGCTATGATGAATCTGAAGCCACAGATCTCGCCACCGCCGCCGTGGAACAAGCAGACAAGCTAAGAGAGCGCCTGACCGCCCTGCAAGAAGGGGAGACAAGCAAGGTCGAGCGGCGAAGGATGGATGGAAACGATGACATATCGAAAGGAGGGCGAGACGAGAGGGGACAAAAGGAGCGTGCCTAACCGAATCATAGTCCGCTTGGACGTCGAGCCGAAAAAGTATCCGCCGATGTAGGACACTGAAGTGGTGGAGGAGAACTGTTCGACCATGCCTGGGTTGAGCATGTGCCCTAACAAGTCGACAACTGAAGAGGGAATCTTGGAAGCTGTTTGCAGAATGTCCTTGTTGCAATCTTTTTGCAAGTCAACGGCTAGGGCCTGCAGACACAGGAAGATTTCAGTGTTTAGGGCCTGCAGGGAGACGGTTTCGGAGGCTATTTCCTGTAAAGAAATTCCGGCAGCGAGGGACCTGCATGGAGAGAGATCCGGTTGCAGAAAAAAGTTGCAGGAGGGAATTCCGATAGCATGAAAGGCTACAAGAGGAAATTTCGACGGCGGGGTTTGCAGGGACAAAAAGCTTTCAACTGAAAAATTGAAAAGAGTAGGCAGAGGAAGGGCCTGCAAAACACGACAAAGATTGTCAGCTGCAGGGAATAGGAAGTCTCCAGCGGCAGGTGATTCTAGGGGTTTGTATTAAGGCTCAGATATCATGTTGAATTTTAGAATAAAGCAGAATGATATTATTGATATGAAATAGAGGTATAAATAACCCTTACATGAATCCTAAAATAGGAAAGACAATAAAAAATTAACAGAAAAAGAAAGATATAACGCCTATATCTCCAATTAATAAATTCATATTAATTAAATGGAGACAAAAAAAAATAGCATAAAGCATAAAATAAGAAAGAAAATACCTCTAATCCAAAAAATTAAATTTAATCCTCATAACTTCAAAAAAGAAAAAAATATTTCCTAACATAACTTCTAACAGCTACAACCACCCCAAGCAGATCCTAATTAATTGTCTAATAAGTATCTAAAGTTCTCCTCTTTGAGTAAACATAACTTTAAAGCCATCTTGATACGTTGATGTTTAAATGAGACAACAATGGTAGAGTGAGGCTTGATGAAGTCTTATTGAGTGTGCATGTGATATGATGAAAAAGTGCTGATGGTGCTTTTGCATTTCCTAGAATGGATATTACAAGAGTTGGCTGTGGCACAAGTCATGTTAAACGATTGCAATTCAGGCCTTGCGGGAGACTCCTGCAATGCATGCCCTGTAGAAAATGCTTGTTTCATCAGCTTTATAGGAAATAAATATGATGCAGGTCTCAGAGGAGATGGATACAACATAAATCTCATAGGAGATGTGTTGAAAGTCTTGTTGGGAGATGACCACGATGCTGGTATTTGGGGATCGATTGCGATGGAGGCATTCAAAGAACAATTGTGATGCAAATATCGCGGAATAAGGCTATGATTTAAGTCTAATGGGAGATGAGTCAACTTTAACAAAATATAGTTGCAATGTAGTCTTGAAGAAAACAGTTACAATGCATATCTCTTGAGAAATGATAGTAGTATAGATCTTGAAGAATACATTTACAATGCAAATCTTGATGGAGATAGATGTGGTGTAGATTTTGAAGAAGGCAGTGGCACTGTCTTGTAGCATACAACTATTGCGCAGGCTTTGCAATATAGAAGGCTACAACACATCCTATTGAAAATCACTGAAATGTAAGTCTTATGAGAAAAAACTCTAGCGTAGGTCCTACAGGAATTGATTACGACATAGGTTTTGCAGGCACTAAGTATGATGCAAGCTTGTAGAGCATGACTATGGCACAAGTGCAGGATGCAACATAGGCCTCGTGGATAAGGGTTACTCATAAGAATACCCAAAGAAACCGGACATCCTGAAAAACCGGACATCGTGAAAAACAAGTGCAGGATGCAACATAGGTCTCGTGGATAAGGGTTACTCATAAGAATACCCAAGTGCAGGATGCAACATAGGTCTCGGGGCAATTTAATCTTTTTCTAGAACATTTCTCATAGCTGTCAATGAAGGGTACACATCAAATCCTCTCATGCTCAAAATATTATTAGATAATACCGCTTCAAGGCTTACTCAATTGTCCCATCCAGATAAGGGTAGACTCAGGCAACCAATTATGATGACCAACCATTAGCCAATGTCGATGTTTACGATAAAAAATCTATACAATGACAATAGATTAAAGTTTTTAATGATCAAATTAATAAGAATAATTCTAACAAGTCTCATCTCTCAAAAATCTCCCACTATTTTAACATGCAAGTTACTCTCCATGAGAGAAGGATTGTGGTGGAGTTCACAACAAACTTGACAAACCCAAATCTTTTAGAAAGAGCTTCGCAACAATAAGTGTGTTGGAGAAACTAGAGAAACAACAGTGTGCTTCTCTCGAATCAATGGTCCTAAGGAGCTGCCACCCATCCCTCCTACCATGATCATTAATATCGGAATATAAAGGGAATACTAGATTGTTGATGAGATTTAAAATTTAAAATTTCAATCCAACTTAAACCATATTAGAAAAATGCATGAACCTATAACATAAACCAAAGTCCCAAACCTTGGAAATCAAATGCAACAGTGAAGTTAGAAACAAAAAATATGCTTTAAAAAGATGGCTATATGTTCACCAAAATGAATATGTTTACCAACAATTTCCTTGCAATCCTCAAAAGAAAAATTGAAATAGTCTGTCCAGACTAAACTGAGATGTCAACATAAACGGATTCATATTTCAAGATAAACAATAATATAAGATATAGAAATCATTAGCAAATACCTGTAAGATTGTTCAAGATAAACAATAATATAAGATATAGAAATCATTAACAAATACCTGTAAGATTGTTGGAGAAGTTAAGCCAAACATCTCAAGGCCATCAACTGATCCCGGAGGCTGAAGAGATGGAAGGTTAACTCTCCCAAGGTTGTGCAGCCTTCTAATTTCATTGTTCACCCTCTCTCTAATCATATTCCAACACTTAGTAGCGCTTAAATGGAAGAATATTTCACTTGGGCTTTCCTCCAACTTAATCTGATCCACCGAAACTATGTCAGTCAGATGTTCTAGCGCATATTTAATCATTTATCTTAAGAACACAATGAATATATATATAGATAGGATCACTTGGTCTTGAAACAAATCAGATTAAGAGAGACAGTTGGAGACCTAATAACCAGAAAAAGATAAAAGTCCTTCAGTAAATTTCTCTCCCAAGAGAAACACAATCAGTTAGTTCCGGCTTTGTCATTCAGAAGCTCAAACTACGGTGGAAACTAGAAACAAAAACAGTACAAGTTATGGGGAAAAAAAGATTTACATGCGTAACACTCAATTATTATGTATTTACATATCTAACACCTAAGCTTCAATTTTTACATACATGCCATCTTGCCTATGCATGAAAAGGTGTCTTTCACTTTTTAAAGCTAAATTGTGATATTTTTGATGTGATGTGAAAGATTTGGGTGCTATAAATGTAAGAAGGTTTAGGTGTTGGATATGTAAATATATAAGGATTGGGTGTATGTAAATGCCCCCCAAAAATATCATTGAGCTATTAGGCAAGCACATATTCTATCCAAAGACATTCAGGGTAAGGATAGCTTGCAGAGGATTCCATGAAGATGGACGAAAGAAAAAACATAAATAATATTTTACAAAATGAACCATGGAAGTAAAAGATAAAAAAAGAGCATTACCATAAACAGAGGCCCGTAGGGTTCAGCTTCCAAAATTTCTGAAACATAATAGCACATCTGTGTAGGATCGAGTACGTTCCAGTATCGAACTCGACTCCTAAATCCTGAATCGTAATGAAGGCAAACAACATATTCTAAATAACTCTCATGAATACAGAATATCATCGTAGTAAAATAGAAGGGCATAGTAGAGAAAAAAGGGGCATTTACATACATACCACACAAATTCTCATGCATTCACATATCAACACCTAAACATTCATAATTACATGCATATCACTCTGATTTTGAACATGACATCAAAAATATCACTACCACTATCTATTTAAATACACACCAAGGTGTTATACAGGTAAATATCAAACTTTGGGTGTTAGATATGCAAATACATAAGAATTGTGTGGTATGTA